GCAGCCTATCAACATGGCGGCGTTACCTGAATAGTTGCAATCATGTATCGTGTAGGGTTCAAAAGCAACATTATGTTGATTCCCGTTATTATATTACTCCCTTTGTACTTTAATTAGTGGTGTATTTGATTTTTTTTAATAATTTAAAAAAGTTGTAAATTCCTTAAAACTAATAATTGGGAGTACAAATATGTATGTAGGGTTAGAAAGAGATAGAGAGAAAGAAAAGGTAATTGCTCCCTTCGTCCCATAATTTCGTGCCTATTTCTCAAAAAACACGGTAATTAAGAAAAATGGTGGAAGTAGGGGAACATTCTATTGGAAAGAAAAAAAGTAGAGAATATTGTATGGAAATAATAAAAAGTAGAAAATATTGTATGAAAAGGAGAAAAAGTAAGGAATGATTTTTTGGGTATATGTGTATTTTGTATGGGAAAGATTAAAAGTAAGTAATGATTATGTGTTATATTTAGAAACATGCACAACATTTTGGGACACCCAAAATACAGGCGCAAAATTATGGGACGGGGGGAGTAGTAATTATTGAAGATCATAGGGAGAAAGAAGGTGTTGGGAAATGATGTCATTAGTACTTAAATTAAAAGAAAATTGATGACAACTCATCAAAAAAAGTGTAATTTTGTAAAAAAGTACGCTATTTAAAAAGAAATAGGCCACTAATTTTGGCTACCCAAAAATGAAATACAGGCCACAAATTAAGGAATGGAGGGAGTATAATTGTCGGGTTATGAATGCATGCAGGTGGAGGTTGTGAAGAAGTTGAGTTTGTAGTGGTCGAATATTAAAGAAATTGAATCTTTGACTTATGACTAATTATAGTATTTAGAGCCACATCCAACACAATCTAAAATCGATCCGAAAAATATCTAATTTAGATTTTAACTGTATAATAATAAAACATCACACAAGTTTCTTAAAAAAAAATATCTAACCTCAAAATGTTCAACATGGCTGGTGCTTTTTGGGAAAAAAAATCTCTTACCATACCCCACTTGGAAAAGTGCTGGTATAATAATTGTTGAGGCCAGCTTAGTTTTTTAAATAACACGTACATTAACATTTATCAAACGAATGCAATAATAGCACTAGGCAGTAGCATTTGTATAATTAGATGTGATAGGAGATTAGGAGCTAGTGAGTAGTGATACCGTGAAAGATAAATTAAATATTAAGAGTGAGAAACTAGCAAGTGAAGTAGCTAGTGAAGAGGAGGAGCAAGGGATGAGGATCACAAAGCTACGAAAGATAAAATGTTACAGCTAAATCGATTCAAATACTCAAATAGATATATCTCATATATGTCGTCATTTCAACTCTGAAAAAGCAATAATGAACGACAAAAAATGAACACCAAAAAGCAAGTGATGCACCAATTTCTACTAATAGAATTCTGACGTAGAAGTCCTATGTGTAGAGCTGTAAGTTTGACCAGAACCGTTAATTTCGACTATTTCGAATCAATCCGAAAAGAAACTAAACCGTAAAAATTCCATTTTTTGAAAATCGAAAATCGACCCGATCCAATTTTTTCTAACCCGAAACTGAATCGAACCGAATTTGTGAGAACCATTACTAACCAGACTTGTTAACAAGCCCAACTATTACAACCCAAAACTGAAAACAACCCGAACCGATTTCATCTGAACCCGATAGTAACCCGACCCATGTTAAACCGAAAACCGTTTAAACCCGGCAAAAATCCGATAAACCTGAATCGGTTCAACCCATAACCCGTTGTGACCGAACAATTTATAACCCATAACCCGTTATGACCGAACCGTTTTCAACCCGTAACCCGTTGAAACCGAACTGTTTACGACCTGTAACCTGTTGATACCGAAGCTTTTACCACCGGTAACCCTTTATGACTAATTCGTTTACCACTCGTAACCCAATATGTCTATGAACTAATCCGTTTCGACCCACAACTCGATAAACCCAACTTATTTATGACTTAACTTGATTATAACATGACCCGTTCCTACCCGTTATCTGACTAACTCGACTCGATAATGATCCGACTCGATTTTAACCTAATATGATTTGGACTAAAACCCACTTCAAATTGGGTAAACCCGTTTCAAACAGACCAAGTTCAATCCAAACCGATTATGACCTGAACCGATAATGATCAGACCCCCGATTTCACCCGATCTGTTTTGAACCGAAACCCATTTTCAAACCGACCCGGTTTAACCCAAACTGATTATGACCCAAACCGATTACAACCCGACCTGATTAGAACTTGAACTGTTTTGAACCGAAACCCACTTTAAATTGGCTAAACCCGTTTTTAAATCGACTCGATTCAACCCAAGCTGATTATGACCCGAACCAACTACAACCCGATCTGATTAGAACTCGACCCGAATAAAAACCGTAATAAAAAAAACCAAACCGAACTGACCCGATGATTTTCAAAACCGACCCAAACCCACCCCCGCTAATCATTTCAACCCATTATAACCCGAAACTGATAAATCCAACTCAAATCTAAACTGTTTACTCGAATTAACACTCCTACCTATATGAGAAGTATAATTGCATAGCCACAAAAATATGTTGGGGTCCTAGTTTAGGGTCGGTTCTCTTTGTCGTAGATTGAAATTTATAAAATAAAACATAGTGGTATCTTCTTAAAACACTTTTCTTGCTTTAAGGAGACAAATTTCTTAAGACAAAGTGGTATCTTCTTAAAACACTTTTTTTGCGAATGAGACAACCAAACCCCACCCCCCACCAAAAAAAAAAAAAAAATACCAAATCAAATCACCTTTGCTCTTGCATTTGCACTCTTTTTTCTCTCCAATCCACTAGAATTAAGCATGGTTAGTAAACCAGTTGAGAGAAAGAAGAAAGCCAATTTAATCTCATAAAAGGGACAAAACGTTAGATGGATCGTGCATAAGCTTCTTTATAATAGATCATGACACAACTTTTAGCTTGATTTTCGTTGTGGGGTTAAATCCCACCGTCCACGGTTAATTTTATGCTTTGTTAACTTGTCCCCAACTCTAATCCTCCTCACAAGCTATCATGTACAGTGTTGAAGTATCATCTTTGTGCAAATATTTTTATTTATTATTTATTTGTTTTTTATTTTTTTATGAGAAAAATTATCTTTGTACATTTAAAAGCTATGATAGTTACTGTAGCATAAATCTATATGCTTAGGTCTTGTTCATCTATTAAGCATAGTCTATAAGTATTGTACGAGACTGATAGTCTGATATAAATTAGTAGATATTTCATATGAGCTTTTAAGACAATTTTTTACATATGGACTTCTAAAATTTAGATATGGAATATATGTTTTTGGACATTTCTTGTACTTTTTTTTTAAAAAAAAAATTCATATAAGTCATTGGACATATTAATTTTTGGATTTAAAATTTAATGCACGACCTATTATCAACCCTAATCTAAATTTATCATTTATGAAATAAGTGAAAATAATATGAGCACTATGGGAATTTACTTGACAAGTTCAAATTTTTTTTTTATAAGAGTTTATACCTATACCTAAATTTAATTTACAACTGAAATAAATTCTAACAAGTTTAGATGAGTTCACCCAAGTTTCGATAAATTCAATTAAATTCAAGTAAGTAAAAATCAGATAAATATTAACACACCCAAAGTTTGATAATAGTGATAATATTGCAAATATTATACGAAGAATATTAAATCAACTCTAGTATTCAAGAAATTGAAATGTAAAGATGGGAGAGAATATTCTTAATTTTTTTAAAATAAAAAAAAATACAGAGGGAGAAGAGAATAGGTGGTGGTGGATCGCAAATCTTCTATGGACCTTGGTCCATCTAGAAATAGGTGCACCACGCCTATACTTTTGGACATTTAGTAAAAAGATCTGAACAATTGCAAATTTTGAACATTTAGTAAAAAAATCTGAACATTGCAAATTTTGAACATTTAGTAAAAATATATGAACTATCGAAATGTACCACTCTTATACTTCTGAACATTTAGTAAAAAAACCCTGAACAATCGCAAATTTTGAACATGTAGTATATTAAATACAACACTATTTAATAAACATCAATTTTTTGAAAGAAGCTTGTCAAACTCGTAATTATTCAATAGTTTTGTAATATAAACTGAACATTTAATGCATATAAAATAAACATTTTCTTATAAATATATGAACATATAAAATTGGATGTTTATGTTCATTTTTTGTGACGTGTTCATATTTTTTTTACTAAATGTTCATTTTTTGTAAAGTGTTCAAATTTTTTTACTAAGTGTTCAAATTTAATTTACCTTTCTGCACTATTTTCTTGTTTTTCTTCCATGTCGGTTAGTTAATTTGCAGAGGAGAGAGAATGTGTAGTTCAGCAATTGAAAGAGGAAATGAAATAATTAAAATTTTCGTCAACTTTTTTTAAAAAAATATGTCTATTGGTAGCGAAACTAATAAAGAAAGAAAGTGGGAGTGTATGGGCCTAGGTTTTTAGCGAGAAATGAAGTTTGTAGCGTAAATGGGCCTGTGGTCCAGCTAAGATCAGGGTGCATAATAGACTTATTGGATGGTGGATATTTGGATAAATCAAGCATAAGTCACATCAAGGCCATGGGCAAAGCCTAGTCATGTCGTGGGAGGTACAACTTCAATGAGAGAAATTTATGGTTCACTCGTCCTTTAATTCTTAAGACCTACACCCTAGAGTAGGTACTTCTACCTACACCCCCCTTTTCTTCCTAAGTGTACTATACAACTGGAAGCTAGGAACAACAAAAACCAATTTCCTACTTACTGATTCGGTAAGCTACGTGTCCGGTGCACGGAGAACTGCCTTCGGTCTCCAACCTAACTTACTCGTGGCAACCTTCCGGCCGCCCAACAACCTATAACGCTAGTCACTAGAAACCGATTTCATCTCATTTCTATCAAAAATACACTTATGTTGAGAAAATGGCTCTTTGTCGTGTGCAGATGGGAGAGTAAGATGGTATGAGGTTAAGGTAACATTATATTTTATTACCATACTTAAGTCTGTATAACACAATATGAGAATTGAGTTGCAGCCAAAGGAGCAGAATATAACTGCATTGCATATACACTACTTCGAACATAAGGGCAACATGTCTCAAAAATAAAAAACACTACGCGACTTGTACACTGTTCCAAAAGTTATCAAAGGCCATATCATCAAGTCTTGCAAAATGTATACCCAGATAACTCAAGAAACGAAATGGCAGTTACTGCAGTGAAACACGACTGCCACAACGTACGAACATTGGAACACCAAATTATAAGAGTTATCTGTTCTAAGAGGGTTACTTAGCTTCAGCCTCAGCTCAACCTTTCCTCCATTTTCTCGATAGCTTTTTCTATAGCCGGCACATTCTTATAGAAGGAAGACCACTGGTCAGCAGTTAAGCTAATCCCTGCACGTATGACAGCATACTTATGTATATATTGCAATAAAAGGACAAAGCATCCCTAAACTGATGCATATTATCAGCACAAATACACAATGCTGAAGTTTCATGATGGCACATTATCAGCACAATGTCACAATGAATTTTCTCAACAAGCTTAAAACTGCTACAGAGAATTCTATTTGAATTTTCTCTACAGTCTTCAATCTTATCATCCCAAGTTCAAAATAACAAATATTCTTTATAACAGATCAAAAGCCCTTAATAATTTCTAATTAAACATAACACCCCCATCAAGTTTTCAAAGTATGACTAACAGGTCTAACCCCTTAAATTCTCAATTGCTCCAAATTGCTGACGGCTAAAGAAAGGGGTTTAAAACTGGTTCCTATTTAAGTAATTACAAATACCTCTAATCAAATATTACAATTTTGGCGGTATATTCATTATTGTGGAGATGGGATTATAACAAGGGTACAAAGATTTTATACACAAACACACACACACACACACACAGCCACAAAGGTGGAGCCTGTACAACAGAACAACCACCTAGTCCAAATCAAAAGACTTGAAAGTAATTTTGATTGCTAGGAGATAAATTAAAGTTGTGTGATCTCTTGACTAGAAAGTAGATATGTGATTCTCTCAAGAGCTTGCGATTCCAGGATCCCTTTGGAGGTGATGCAGAGCTATGAGTGGACTCACTAAAGGTATAGTAAGTAGTAACCAGAACATATAATTGCAAAACACAAGAAGAATTGCTTGGCAACAATTCAACATTAGGCCCTTAGGGCAATAGAGAGGCAGCAGAAGCTGTAACCAATATGCTGCCCACATTACATAACGAACAGAAGTACTCATTCATGTCCATTCAATACTTGACTCAAATTCAGCATAAACATCAAAATTCATATATGCTCCCGAAAGCAGTTTACTTTACCAGACTACAATAAAGCTTTACACTTGTTAACTTGCATGTTAAAAAAATTCAGAAAGTAACAAAGGCAACATTACATTCAAGTTTGAGTGACAGGATTTCCTTAATTCAACTCCAATCATATCCACACCCGACTAAATTAGCATACCTCAAATCCACCATAAATCTATATGGAATAGTGACCCTGAAAGTGATATATGTATTGACACACAGAACTATATACAAAGTAGCGAACTCTCATAAACGGCTTAATAGAGCACTAATTTACCCAAGAAAAATCTTGACAGAGCATTCACAGATTCCAGTCTCAACCTATTAATTCCATTGAACTATAGGCTTTGGTGAATAGCACACAAACACTAAAAGATGTCTAGTGAAGCACTATGTTATTTGCCTAGAAAAACTGAAAAATTTATCACTCTTGTTTGCACCTCAAGTACCCGCATCTCATAACAGAAAATAAGACAATGCTATAGATGTTGTAAATAAAGGAGTAGTCTAGTACATATAGTATGAAATATTAAGCAAGACCGAAAAAGTGATCTCACAAAAAAGGAATGAGAACAGTGTGTCGTGAAGCAAATTCACGGACTTGAAAACGAAATTCCGACGCAACTGGGGTGCTCAATAGTATTCGTCGGCACGTTCCCTAAGGTTAACACACCACTTCCACTCAAAGGCACTTTTGGGTGGAAGGTTGGAGTTAAGAAACTTATGCCCAATATAAAATGAGTGTTTAGCTGGTGTTTGATGTATTTTTCAAGTGTATAAAATCATAAAATCATCCTTCAATTTATAATGATGGATGAAAGAAGGTAGAAGATCATGGAGGAATATTTTCCATCAATGGAAGAATAAAATCAGAATAATGATAGTGTTTTTAATCATCATAATCAACCTCTTAAATGGGGGGTTTTAAGAAATCAAACAAGAAGAGGAATCCAAGGGAATCGTTGGAGTCCAATGGACGAACTTGCGCCATGGGTTGCTATCGCGCCCGGTCGGGCGAACCAACAACAATTTTTCCAACGTCTTTACGCGCCCGGTCGGGCAAGCACCCAACCAAAAACTGGGTTGCTCTCGCACACGGTCGGGTGGCGGAACTCCAGATTTTGCAACTCTTCTTGCGCCCGATCGGGCGCCCATATTTGACCCTTTGAATTTCCTTTCTTTATTCCAACAATAGACACTCGACACATCATTTCGGATCAAAAATTCAATAAATTGTAGCACATTCGCAGGTTCCCCAGCCCAACACTAGTAGGGTACAAGTAGCCTTAACACTCCGACATAATACTTGTTCACCAAAACAATCAATTTGATCTTCCTCGATAATCAATTACAAATTTAATGACAATCTGTTCTCTCAAATAATGCACTATGGATTAGAATCATTGAAAAATGCAAATATAGAATGACAATGATAGTGACGAAAACAGGAAGTAAAATGGTAGAGTAATACCTTTGGATGTAGGGAGAAATTTTCCATCTTTCTTGTAATACTCCCTAATTGACACCAATGTCTTTCCTTTAAAATCCTGAATCGTCACTCTTCTCTTCTCCGACAACTGCATAAATAATTCATCCGATTAAACCCGTTTTAATAATATCCACCAATTAACAATTTCACAAACCAAATAGACAAAACATTAAGCAGAAATTAAAAGCAGTACAATAAAAAAAAAATCACACAAAACCCTCAAATTAGGGTTTATAAAAATCAAAATCAAAAAATCATTCCAAAGAATTAAACTTTTTTTCAAATAATTACAGAAAAATCAATTAAACTTACACGACAGATGATGAGATCGCCGTCATCATCATACTCTTTGCCATCAGAACGTCTCTTGTTACTTTCTTCTTCTTCTTCCTCCTCCTCTTCTTCTTGTTCTTGTTCTGCTTCATCAGCGGCGCCTTGAACGGCGTCGTTTTGGCGCTGTTGTTCAAGAAGAAAGCCTTCGACAATCTGACGGACAAATTTCTTGGAAGAAGATTCGGAGAGATCGATGCCGAGCTTTTCGCCGGCGAGAGTACGAACATTGAATTCAGTCATCTTTTGCATGTCGGCTGTTCGAAGGATTTCCAGCACTGTTTCTTGCACCTTCTCCTTCGTTGCGGCGTCCATTTTGCACAATTTTTTTTTCTGTGTCTGAATTTACTGTTGATTTAGGCAGCTCTGTTACTGTTCTGAAAGTCTGAATATCATATGAAAGGTTCTTCCTTTTTATGGAGTAATACTATACAATAGGATTGATGAGGGGGATTTTTTTTTTTCCATAAAGATGAGGTGGGTTTTTTATAAAATAAAAATAAAGTTTTTTTAACGTATTGGTAACTTAAATTCTAGAGCATCGGACCGTCCGAGTTTAATACTGAGGAGAATCAAGCAAATTCTAGAGCTACATAGCCGTGTTGATATTTAATCTCGTGTTTGTAGTGTTAATTAAAAAATGAGTTAAATAGGACTAGTTGTATAATTTGATCCTATCATTACCGCAGGCATAAAGGAGAAATGATACTAAACAATATAAGAGTCATCCCTAAAAACTAGCTCAAGAAGAAAAGTGTCAAGGGGAGCCCATTGTCCTATAAAAACCCCACATGAGCCTCCCATATAACCGATGTGAAAATTGTTGGGGAATTTGGTTACTAGGTCACAAAAATCCCAACCAACTTGGACAAATTAACTCTTCATGGCGTGAACAAAATCTCTTTCCCAAAGTAATATTTCGACTCTGATTAAACACACCGGATATCACAAAATTACTAGGAGATACAACAAAGACAATCACAATAGTACGTAGTATATTTTTGATCAAATGCAATCAAAACTTAATAATTATGATGAAGATAATTGGGGCTTGCAATTGGTTTTCGAGAGAAAATAAAACTAACTTTTTCCTTGAATATATTTTCATCATATGTTGTAAACATATTTATATTAAGCAAATAATCAAAGCTAGACAATGCCAAGAAACTGACGATAACCGTCATTCTCAAAACAAACCAGCCCGCGCCCGACTGGGTCGGCCACCACCGATCAAGCAAATTTGAACGTCAAAGCATGTAGCCTCTCGCCCGGTTGGGCGGCGGTGGCCCTGCCGGGCGGTCAGCTCCAAAATCCAGAAGTGAGTCTCGCGCCCTGTAGGGCTGTAAAATTTAGATCGAGGCAGCGAACCTTGAAATTCTTTTTCTCCAGTCGCCCCCGATAGGGTGCGGCTGCCCGACCGGGCGGCGGAGCAAAGTCCTAGAACCACTCTCGCGCCCTTCCGGGCGAGCACCACCCAGACCGGGCGGCAGATAGGGCGATGGAGCAATTCCACTTTACTGAGTTTATCTCTTTATCGAGATATTTTCACCCTTTTTACCAAGACTTATTTGCTTTAATTATATTATGCAACACCTTATCCTAAGTATAACAATTAAATAACATGAACTTAGTTTACCATTCTCTAAATTATACAACAATCCTCCCCCAGTTAGAAAATAAATCTAGACTCATTGCAAAACATCATCATCATAAGAGAACAATCTTATGCATAAATGAAAGTGTAAAAAGACTTGAACTTCCACTTAGTGCAATATACATTCCAAGAATTCGTATCCATTTGGTATCGTACACTACTAGAAATAGGTTGTTTTCCGACGGAATAGTTCTGACGGACTTAAATTCCGTTGGAGAATTCGAAAATTCCGACGAAATTTTGGTCTGTCAGAAATATCCGTTGGAAAAAATAAGTTGCGACGGAAAATCCCTCGAAAATATTCCGACAGATTTTTTTCCCCTCGGAATTTATTGCTTCCGACGGAATATTCTCTCAGAAAATATCTACCGACGGAAATTTCCGTCGGAAGCTGTAAATTCCGAGGGAAAATAAATCCCTCGGAACATATTAATTTCCTACGGGTTTTAATTCCATAGGAAATTTCCGGCGGATTTAAAATCTGTACGGAATTTACCCTATTCCGACGGAATTTTATTAAAAAAAAAAAAAAAAAAAAAAAAACCTAAATCTAAAAACACGGAAATCTGATAACACCCCCCCTAATTCTCTTTCTTTCCTATTCTCTCTTCACACCCCTCTTCTTCTTCTCTCTCCTGTCTCCTCTCTTCTTTCTCTTTCTTTCCCTCTCCTCTGCCTGACTGTTCTTATTCTTCTTTCCCTTTAATTTCTCATCCCTCCTCCTTCTCTTCTCATCCCTCCTTCTTCTCTTCTCAACCCTCTTTTTCCCCCTTTCTCTTTCTTCTCGATCTCCTTATCACTCCTCTTTGCAACACCACCACCACTACAACAACCGTTCGCAACAACCGCCAAGAAGAACACCACCGCAACAACCACCGGCTACATCAAAGCCGCGCAAGAACACCACCACCGCAACAACCTCCGACAACATCAACACCGAAGAAAGATCTACATTTAATTTTGGTTAGAATTAGGTCTAGTTTTATTTTGTTCAAATTTTCAATGTATAACTTTTAGTTTTTGAAATAATTGTATATTTAAGTTAAATTTTTGCTAAATTTTGAATTGTTAAATTTCAATGTATATTTTTGTTAAATTTCGAATTGTGTTGATTTTAGATCTATTTATTTAATTTTTAATTTTTGTTTTTTATTTTATGTTATGAATTTTGTTTAATTTTTTTTTTACGGGTTAAGGGTTTTTTTGGTGGGTGGTGAGGTGGGTTGGGTTGGTGGGTTATGGCGGGGTTAAGATGTGGTGGGTTAAGGTTTGGGAAAAGGTGTGGTGGGTTACGGTGGTTAGGCGTGGTGGGTTAGGGTTTGGGTTAGAGGTTTTGGTGGGTTACGGTGGGGTTGAGGTGTGGTGGGTAGGGGGGCAGTGTTGGTGTGGGTGGGTATGGGGGTAATCAGGGGGGCAGGGGGTGGGGTGGGCTGGTGGTGGTGTGGGTGGGTAGGGGGGTAGGTGGGCAGTGTTGGTGTGGTGGGTAAGGGGGTAGTCTGGTGGCGTTGGGTGTGGGTGGGGGTGGGGGTGGTCTGGGCAGGTGGGGTGGGGGCTACTTTTTTTTTTTTAATTTATTTTTCCGAAGGAATTTTCCGTCACCGACGGAATTTTCCGTCGGAAAATATCCAACTCCGACGGAAATTTCCGTCGGAACCTTGCGACGGATTTACACTGAAAGTCAACAAAAGCGCCGACAGAACAAAATCCGTCGGAATAGACCTTTCCGACGGAATTTCAGGGTTTTCCGACGGATTTTTTCCGTCGTTGATTGACTGTTTTCTAGTAGTGGTAACACGTTTGAACCAAAAGCAATACATATTGAATTCATGAAAATATTACGCACACAAGATAAATTACTTGATTACATTAATATTTGACACGTAAAGTCATATGTCCCTATCTTTTCGTAAGTACTTTAAACTATGCCTAAATAGCTTCTTTAAGCGGCTAAACTTCGTACTTATATAGGTAGACTTCCAAAACATGGTCCTGTGACAAAGCACTATATCAGGAATTCTATTAAGTCTAAAAACAACCTATTTTCATCAAAGTAAACCGGAACTTTACTTTGGATGATTAAATAAGTTCCCAATTACTCCCTCCGTCCCAAATTACTCGCAAAGGTTTGACTTTTTGCACTATTCACACATCTCCCTTTGACCATCTTTTTTAACTATTATATGAAAATTAATGTAATCATGTAAGATGTTATTGGGTCTATTTTAATGTATAGTTTCTTGATATAAAATTTTTATAACTTATATAAATATATAATAAAAGATATCAACGGTCAAACATGTGCATCGGTAAGCGTGTCCAGTTAAAATGTTGCAAGTAAAGTGGGACAGAGGGAATACCAAATAAGAAAGTTAATCTTATTGAACATAAGACCCAACGTCTTATTTGGCGTTAAGTTAAGACTCCCTCATTGGTAATTACTTAGGGCTCCAATCCCAAATTGATTGCCATTCACATCTCTAGCCAATGCCTTGGTGAAACAATCGGCTAGATTAAAATTCGTTCGAACATAATCAATAGTTATCACACTATTCTTGATAATCCCTTAGATGTAACTATGCCGCACTCCAATATGCCTTGACTGACCATTATATACTTGGTTATATGCCTTAGCCAAAGTAGCATTATTATCGCAATGTATCACAATTGGAGATATTGGCTTTTGCAACAAAGGAATCTCATGCGTTCGAACGAATTGTAATGCAATGAACCTCGATGTCATCGTAGATACTGCAATTTCGTAGAATCTCATGCGTTCGAATAAAGGAATCTCATGCGTTCGAACGAATTGTTGCAAGGAATCTCAATTGTAATGCAATGAACTAGCGGAATGTAATGCAATGAACCTCGATGTCATCGTAGAATCTGCAATGCAAGTTTGCTTCTTAGATGCCCATGAAATGGTACCTCTCTCATATAGGAATACCCATCCACTGATATCCAACTTGCATCTGAATACCTTTCAACATCCGAAGGATACGCACTATAACACAAACCATAATCCATGGTTTTCTTCAAGTACTTCAATAAACGACGAATCGCTTGCCAATGTAGCATATTAGGATTACTAGTGAACCTGCTTATTGACCAACCACATAAGTGATATCCGGCCTAGTACTTGTCATGTCATACATCAAATATCCTATAACTCTAAAATATTCCAGTTGTGAAACTGCATTACCTTCATTAGGTATCAACTTTATTCTAGGATCCATAGGTGTTGAATAAAAAAAGGTCAAACTTTCACTAACATTGAACTTCTTGAGCACTTTCTCAATGTAATGAGATTGTGACAAGATCAACTTTCCATTTTCTCTCTTTATTCTTATGCCCTAGATGACATCCGCTTCTCCTATGTCTTTCATGGAAAATTGAGAACTAATGAAGGATTTTTTCATCTCAACTTGTGACAAATCTGATCCAAAGATCAACATGTCATCTACATATAGACAAATTATGACACCTTGACGGTTGTCATCAAATTTGCTATACACACATTTGTCATAATTGTTCAATTTAAAACCATTAGACAACACAACCTCATCAAACTTTTGATGCCAATGCTTAGGTGTCTGTTTTAGCCCATACAGTGATTTAATTAACTTGTAAACTTTTGCCTCTTGGGCTTCCACAACAAACCCTTCCGGTTATCACATATAAACCTCTTCTTCCAAATCTCCATTCAAGAACGCTGTCTTGACATCCATTCAATGGATCACTAGTTTCTTAATTGTCGCAAGTGCAAATTCTAGCTACCGATGCATATGTATCAAAATAATCGATACCAGGTTTCTGTGTAAAACCTTGTGCCACTAACTGGGCCTTGAACTTTTCAACCGTTCCATCAATCCTCAATTTCTTTTTGAAGATCCATTTACTCCCTATTGGTTTAAAATTAGGAGGTAAATTAGCTAACGCCCAAGTGTTGTTTCCCATGATGGATTCCATCTCATCATTAATTGCTTCCTTCCAAAATGGAGCATCCTGAGACTTCATAGCCTCATCAAAAGTTAAAGGATCATCTTTCACATTAAAAATGTATGGATGCTGTGTTGAAACTTCATCCCTTGATCTTTCAACCAAGTACACATGAAAATCCGAGACAAAAGATTTGTCTTTCCTAGGCCTCTTACTTCTCCTAGGTTGCGATGATGATGTAGATGCCTCCTCTAAATGAGTTTTGTCATCTACCTCTTGATCAAAACTTTGAGCATTGGCATTTGGAGTTATATCCTTTGGTCTAGGAATTGAAGAAAATTGATATTCATCAAACAATGCATCCCTTGACTCAATGGTGATATGAACCGACCAAAAGTCAATGGTGGTATGAATCGACCAAAAGTCATTTTGCTCTATTACATAGAACCTATAGGATTTGCTATGTTCCGTATATCCTAAAAAAATGCATTCAACTCCTCTTTCACCTAACTTGTTACGTTTAGGTTCCAAGCACTTTTACAATTGCCCTACAACCCCAGATTTTGAGATGATTCAAGTTTGATTTTCTTTTGTACCATAGCTCATATGGGATAACATCCTTCCCTTTCGTGAGAACACGATTTAACACGTAACAAGGCGTTAAAACGGCTTCACCCCAAATCCATCTCTTAAACCCAAAAAAGGAATGAGAATAGTGTGTCGTGAAGCAAATTCACTAACTTGAAAAAACAAATTCACCTCATAAGACTTTAACCAATTAAGCTAGTTGGCATCCACGAGTCCACGACACACGTGTTATCTTTTATAACGAGCATCCAGCATTCCAGTGTATAAGATTGAGTTACGAAAAACTACCAATCGGGATAATTTTGTGATTTTAGCGAATTAAGGAAGGGTAACTTTGCCATTTCATATAATTAATGGGGTAGGTTTGTCATTTCACTAATTATTTTTTTTTTTAAAAAAGTAAAACCATAGAAGGTGGCTAAATAATCAGTCTGATAAATTTGATTTTTCTCCTTAATAATTTACCAAAAATGCAAATCTCCAAAATCAACCAGATAGACTAATTTAGCTAGAGCTCTCCATGACCCCATTTCATCTGCAAAAAATCGGTAAGAATTAGTTAGATTTAGTTGATGTGTTATTATATTTGTGAACTTTCCTACAGTTCAAAGCCATTGATTCTCAGTCGAAGAAGCTCTTTAATGGCTGAGGATTTTCCATCCACCTGAAAGTTATCATGATTCTCTCACCTTCCTCATTATCCCAGGCAAGTTCTTCTACTCTTTTTTTTTTTTCAATCATCTTCCCAATCGTTCTAATTTTTTTCAACTTTCTGTTGCTTTGTTTGTAAATTCTAGGGTTTTTAAGCTATAAATTATCAATTTTGATTAACATTAGCAATTGGGGTTTGTGTGGTTTGAACTCTTTACTTTGAATTGGGCATGATTTTTTTGACAATGTATTATATTTCCCTTCTCTACAGATTATTTTTGGTTGGTAATTAATGGGTTAATGTTAACATATAGCCAAAAACTGAGTTATTTTGCAATCAACAATATCGTTACCTATTTGTAATTGGTAAAGTACGTATAGCTTCCGGCTGTTGTTCAGTTTTGCTGGATTTATCCCTCAATATTTGAAATTTTTTGGGTAGTTGGGGAAGATGTTGGATTTGGGATTTCTGTGTATCAAAATTCTGAGATGGGAACAATACGTTTTGCAGGCAATGCCACATTTTTTTTATAGAGAAATGCAATTGAAGCAACATTGTGTTTCGGCGATTTTTCATAGCCAAGAGAACAGGTTCTTGATCAGACAGGCTTTGACAAACCTTGCTCCATCATCACTGTCTTTCTATGAGAGGAGGTGTGTAATGCTGCAAACTAATCTAAATTTAAATGAAGAATTTCTCAGTTACTTCACTAATATGAAGTTGTGATGTTGTCATTAAGTCTTGCATTTCACATTACATCAGTGTTGCTGCTGTTGTTCACTCTTCCTCTTGCCCATGGGGAAAAACAACTAATGGAATATGTGTCATTTCTTGAGAGTAGATTTTATCGTTATTTTCAACCGTAATATATGGCTTTGGGTGTGTCGAGGTTTGGGTGATTGATTATTTAACATGTTGATAAGAGAGAGCAATTGGCTAATGGGTATTGAAATTGTGGTGCTCTCAAAGTTATGAGATGCTCTAAATGTGATGAGGCTGTTGGTTACACCTCTTAATATCTCAAGTAGAATTTTTTATGTTTGGTTTAGTTTCCCTGTGTGAAGAGTCAAAGTTCTAGTATTTGCTGAAGTTACCATTTTATTCCATGATATACTTTGTGTTCTGTTTAGCCTTATGGTTTCTCTAAGTCTCTAACCCCCTGTTACTTGAGGCAAAAGCTCTCCATGTCCATGTTGTAGTTCCTCTTTTGTGACTATTATGTTTGTTATAACACGTCAATCATGCATCTACACACCTTCTAATCTGCAAAGTTGTGGATTCTTTCATTATTCAGCCAATTTCTTGAGGTGGTTGATGGTTGAGAGCAGTTCTGCAGTTCTTTAAAGTTTCCATGTATGATTACCTTGTGGTTGATGGTTGAGAACAGTTCTGCAGTCCTTATAAAGTTCCCATGTATACCTTTTAAAACTGGTTGTACTTGTTTTTAATGTATGATCATCTGAGACCCTGGTGTGTTAATTCACCTAATTTTAAGAGTCCTTCCCACTTTCTCAAATTGAAAGTTTCTCTAGTAAAAGTGAATTCCAGTGGTTTCTGGTGTGTTGCTGTGTGTTTCTTCAGTAAAAGTGATTCCCAGTGGTTTAGGGTTTGTGCAGTTGTTAGAATTAGTCCATAAGCCTATTAATTGCCTTCTGTTATTTGTTGGTGTCTTGGTGATGGGCTAAGCTGCTATAAAAGTGACTACCTCAAACAAAAAAGATTGACATTGCCCTTTCGTGTGAAGTTCTGATTTCTTATACTATGTATTCTTTTGTGTCGGTAGTTTGAATATCATCTTGTACTATTTCTCGCATTTCTTTGTTATAAGAAGCCTGTGCTAGATGACTAGATCTAGAAAACATAAGTCTATAACCCTTTTTTTTTTGTAAAAATAATACTCTGGCATTCATATTCATTTGGTGTCTAACCTAAGCAAAAAACCTCTTCCCCCCTCTCTTTCTGCTGAGCAGTTTTTGCAAGGGAAGACATTGTTGGAAAGTCAAATTTGCTTTAGATACCGGTGGATTTCCCAGTAATGGTGGTCAGCAAAATGATATCAACGAGGACTCCTCTGGTCTTGGCCAAACACGGCTTAGCAGGATTGTGATTGCAGGAGGGAGGCAGCTGCTAGGAAAGTTGAATTCGGCTAGAAAGAATTTCCCCATGAAGGTTTTTCTTTTATTGCTAGGATTCTACACCGCAAATGCACTAGCGACAATACTTGGTCAGACAGGTGATTGGGATGTATTGGTTGCAGGTATTGTAGTTGCTGCCATCGAGGGGATAGGTATGCTAATGTACAAAAAAACCGCATTATCAAGTGGAAGGCTACAACCTTTAGTTGTGTTGATCAATTATTGGAAAGCCGGTGTTTGCTTAGGTCTTTTCGTAGATGCTTTCAAATTGGGTAGCTAAAAGTTCTCATTCATTCAACTATATACAAGAAAAATGTAATCTGAACAATGTATCATCTCCACATGTCTATACATCTCTCTCCATTTCTTTATTTGATGCTAGCAAGCAATTTAGAATTTTTATACGCTACGGAGTATAAAGGTACTCGTATTTATTTTGTAAATTGTTGATTGAATTCAGCTAAAAGTTGCTATTAGGTGAAGCCGTGAAGACTGAAGAGAACTGAACTGTAGTGGAACTTCTAACCAACTCTTCGTTTTTTTTTTCTTTGGAAATACAGAGTAACTTTTAGCGAACTTTGATTGGCTTCTTATGGCCTTTGCTCATTTTCATGAACTTTTCTTCCAATGTACCTCGGCGACAAAAACTCAAAATGTAATGTAAAAAAGAGCATTTTAGGGACTTTAATATTCATGAAGGGAACATATCTAGGGCACCTTACAAGTCTTCTCCAAAGGGGAGGGTTAAGCTATAGAATTCTATACATTTGCATTGACAATTTACAAAATTTAACCAGTGGCTGTCTCCACTAGACATATACATAGATGAATATTTGAAAGCATCACATTTGCAAGCACAACTCTGGATCACAGGTTGATTTGATAAAGAAATTTTATCCCTTGAATTGCTTTCTATTCTTTCCTTTCTTCCTGTGAACAGCAAAAGGAATTGTTAGAGAGCCAGATTGCAAGGAAATGTAAAACAAAACAAAGCTTATGACAGAGGACATACTTTGACTCAGAGTCATCAAAATCATCCATGGAAGCTTGCCTTTTCCCCCCTCCAAAGGCAACCTCATCCATGCTCTGACCACGTCGCCTGTAGTTGCCACCAGATGCAAGAAAACCAGGACAAGGCCTATAAGCCTTTATTGGCCACCAACCAAAGCCTGGGATTGTAGCAATTCCACCTTGAATCCGACCCTCGCCATTGCAGCCACTTTCTATTTCCTCTTTACCACAACCTTTACAACCACTACACGTAAACAATGACAATGTCAATCAGGAGGGAACAAATGAACTACACATAAACTATGCAACAACAATAACTGATCCTAAGAAGGATTGGAAAGCTTGTTTCTGAAATATCCGACTGTCATTGTAAGGCATTCACCAAAACAACAATAACTGATCCTAAGCAAATGAAATCTCTTATTTTTACAACAAAGATGTCAAAAAGGTTCAAATTGAGCCAACAATGAAGACATTGTAAGGCATTCACCAAAACTTGAAAAAATCAGAAATTCCTACAAAATATTCAAGAGTCATTAAATTTCTTTCTTCGTTGTCGTCTACCAATTTAATATAATGCCGTCCTATTGAAAATAGGGAAAGAAATGTTGAGTTTGTAAATCTTGGAGATATATCCCATCAACCTCCTACAAGGGTGTGTTTGATTGGGGTGAACATCCATTTCCTTAGACTAACTTTTACGGCCTGTTTGATAGCCGATAATATGTAACAATAATAAGTTAATAACATAAATAAACTTACGTGTTTAATTTGACAAACACGGTAACATTTAATGTCCTATGATGCAGTCTCAATAGCAGTAATGAACTAATGACTGTTCTGTCTCTAAATATTATTACTACGTACTTGCTTAGCCAAACCCCAATACATGATTGATTAAAACTAAAATTGTTACTCAAAAGTTAAACCACAATTCGCAACCCAAATTCCTAATTTCCTCAAATAATTCCCCAAAAATTTGATTATTTATGAGAAAAATATGATAATCATAGTATAGTTACTCAAATGTAATCAGTAATTTAATGATAAGAAAATAGTATAATAACAAAAGAGAAAGCAGAACGCAAAAAATGAAAGTACCTGAAATTTAAAGGAAGAGAATCAGAATCATTGGAAGAAGAAAGAGGTGAATCTTGTTGTTCTTGAACAACTGATGAAGAGGAAGTTGAAGATGAGAGAGTTATGAAAGGGCCAAGTCTTTGCTGCTGCTGCTGCTGTTGATGGGGAGATTTGAAGTGTAAGAATTGGGGAGATGAATTGTTAAAAGGGTGATGAGAGAAGAAGAGGGATGGAGATGGTGGTGAAGTTGCAAGCCCCTTCATGTTTCTTCCCTACCAGTCTTCCCTCTCTCTCTCTTTCTTCTTTCTTTCAGTCTCTTTTATTGGTCGAATGGTCGAGGATTAAGCTCAGCTGAGAGGATAATAGATCGCTGACAGTTTTACCGAGTTTTGAACTCGGGCTATCGGATTCAGAGTCCGATGTTCTAATAAGTAACAACGAGACTATGACATTGACCATTACAACTCAAATATAAGTGAGGGATAGCTCAAGTGGTTAGAGTTTTCCTCACGATTCCAAGATCTCACCACTGTCCTTGTGACTTTCTAAGTCTAAACATTAAAACAAAAACACTGACCATACACTCAAATATAGGTGTACTTTTTTTTTTTTTTGGGTAGGTAACATAAAGGACTCTACTTGACCGGCCTGGGTTATTGGACTAGACAATTTGGGAGGGGGGGGGGAGGTAAGGGAATCCCACCCCTCAAATTGTCACCAGTGGGGAAAATATAGGTGTACTTACCAAGCTTAGTTAAATACTCCGTATAAATGTTAATGTTGAAGGGTGATGCCCGAAACACGATATTACATCTGGATTTTTTGTCTACATCATTTCTATTAGAGACTTTTTATTGTAAAAAAAAAAAAGGGCTAAATTTTTATTGCATACTGATACACATTACACATTTGTATTTTTGCATAAAAAATATTTCACCACCATGTTCACTAGACTATAGAACTAAGGATTTACTTTATGCAACCAAATTGCAACCTTAAAAGTAGTTAACATGTTCGTGACGGCTTAACATCATTTCTAATTACTAGCACCCAATAGATGTAAGCACACAATCACCACCACAACCCGTAACAACCACCCACCCTCCCTCCCCCCTTATCCCATAAATCCTACTCCAACAATCCACAGCCACAGACCCAAGCCCGGCTAATCATCCCCGTCTACTAGACATCTCTCAAGTTCGGCATATGTAGACTGCATCCTCATCTCAAGTTCGGCATATGGAGACTGCCTACTCGAATGCATCAGCCAACCGAGTTTTGCTCAGTCACACGTCATTTCGTGAACATTTAAGTCATTGCAACTCGGCTGAATATCAATGGAGTTAAAGAAACTAAAGCCAGTACAATGCAACAATAATGAAATCACAAGAAGATAGTAGAAGAGCGTGCAATGCATTTACATATTCCAAACACTCACTCTTCAAAATCTAAACTGGAACCTGTGATTTTACTTTTCTGACATGTCAGAGAATCAAAGAATTTGGAGAAAGTAAATGAAAAGAATCGTGACAAGGAATTTTGTCATTATCATAGAATGCCTCTTCTCGTGAAACAGCAGCCAAAACTGAGGGTAATAATAAATGCATTGGATCAAATTATAATAGAAACTACAATTTCTGTTTCAACTAATTTCTCACTGAAGACAAATAATGCTGTACTATTTTTTTTCTCAGTGACTACTATGTTCATAATTATTAGCTCCTTTCCGACTTGGCTTACGCATGCCCAATCTGTTGATCAACATCTTCATCAACCAGCATCACCGAACGGTGGTGATGGACCATGTACCACCTCCCATCATGATGCTCGAACACATTGGTCACATTGAATGGCCCTGCATTCATGTCAACGTAGGTTTTCATAGTAACCCAAGCCATTTCACTCAGGACCCTAGCCCGCACATCACGTACTTGGAAGCCATCTGCTAGCTGCTCCCAGTTGAATGCAATCTGCCAACTCCCCATCACTGCATTATATCTGGAAGGAAAGAAAATATGGCAGGATCAGATTTTGTGGTAACTCCCAAAGTTTTCAAAAACTCGTTATGCTTGCCCAAGTACAGCACAATGGATGTACTTAATGCAAAGAATTTAATACAGATGGGACTAAGAGTTACTTTTAACCACATAAAACAGATCAAACTGATGAATGAACTTCAATGATAAGTACACAGGTCTTTTACGACATTTAATCTTTATGAAGAATTGTAGATGCATATTTAATACGATGAGTCATACAAAGGGCTAGAGCCATTTTGCTAACTATTGTAAATGATAAAATACAGCATATAATAACTAAAGGAGGCTGTAATGTTTATCTTTTGCCTTTTTAGCAAACTAAAAAAACCAGTAAAGCACAATCATCTCTGCATACTACATATCAAAGGAGCTGGAGCTAAACTTTTACTCTACCATAGTATTATGTAAATCTACAACTAATACAAAGTATAAATTATCAGAAGTTACTCAAGTGTAACTATTTTTGACGATGAATTTAACAATAATATTCACAACTTAGTGAGATTACTCTGGATAAATCAAAGAAAAAATTGTTTGAAATCATTAAAATGACCAAGATATTCACCAAAATCCTTCGTCAGGGAAAAAGTAAATAATACAAAAATGCAGTCTAAAAGTAGCATTAGCAAACGTACACAGCATAAGACGTATACAACAGCAACTTTCATCATGATTTGAAGTTGATGATCTTAACCCACATCAGATATAAATGCATTTCAGTCTTTTTCTCAAAGCACAATTAAAAATAAAGTGCACAGAGAGTCAGAGATGCATAACAATAAAAGATAAAGTGCACAGATATGCATAACTAATCTCTAAACAGCACGAGAAAAATTGCCCTCAAACTATATACTGCAAAACTACCATCATACCCAGTAAAAAGCTCCCCTGAAGCATGGATACACTTCACATAGTCTGCATTAACCCAGAAACGACTCATTGCTGGAAGTGATCTGTCCCTCAAGATGCTGAAAAATTCTGCATTAATATTCACAATCGTTCTTGTAGCTGCATAGTAAGCTTTCCAACCATTAGCTGGTCTGACACTATCTTGTTCCAGAGTAAAATCCTAGAAGAACCAATGAAGATAAAATTTAAGGTTGCAGACATTAAAATATGAAAATTCCAGGCATCTAGGAATGTGGAAAATCATCAAAATGCAAAAACATTATGCATAAGCTGAAACAGAAAAGTCAACTACAGCATTCTATATATTTCCTAGGTTCATGCACAAGTTCAAATGATACCATTCATGCATACAAATTTAATCAATAATTTTTACATATAAATATTCATCAAACACAAACATGTTAAGGCCCTCCTAGGAGAGTGAAGTACTAGTTTACACATCATATCCCAACGCATCTATGTAAGCCACCTCCCCCATCAAGCATTGTTAACAATTGCTTTATATATTTAAGATCACTGTTACCTAAGTATTTCACCCACAAAAATATTTTAAAAAAAAACAAAAAAAACAAAAAAAAAAACAAAACCAAAACTTTCTATGAAATCATGCATGTGAATTAGAACAATGGAGCACTTTGGACTAATCAAGAAAAAATGGGTACTGAATTGCAATCCTGCAACCGTCCAGAGAATCAGGCAACACCTTTAATCAATCATTGCAGCAAATTTCACCTTTTGACACCTCCAAATACAAGTTCTAAATGTAGTATAGTAATCATGGTTAGGTAGTATAGGATGAAAGGAACAAACAAAAATGAAATAGGGCCAAAAATCATGACTCAGCATGGTTAAGTTGTAGCATAATCAAGATATTAATGTACTCCAATTAAGCTGAATTGTTTGCACAAGGGACCATGTAAAGACTAATAGCCTGGGGTGAGAGATGGGAAAACAACTCAAATATAAAATACCAATACAAAAGGAAGAGAGCCAACTATGAGGAATATCACAAAGTCTAAAACCATAAATTATTCTTTCACTAGTATTTTGGCCCGAGCGATGCCACGGGTCAACTAATATAAACAACTATGAGAAAGAGGATGCATTACCCTATTAATTAGTTAAATATAATCATGAGACTTTATCATAATTTCTTTGAAATATTAACCAATGAAGTTGTGGATTGACGGTTTAGATATCAAATTTCATCTCAAAGGTCATATGTTCAAGACCTCACATAATTTACTTATTAAATGAAATGAATATATAGTTTTATATGAACTTTTAAATCACTAATAAAGGTTGGTTAGATGGTAAGTGCATAACCTTTATGTGTTAGAGGTTACAAGTTCAAATCTAACCAAAGCATAGTTTGTTTTGATGAATAATGATAAGCTTACGTGGGACATGTAAATTGTAGAATGACGTGGCAAGCTTACACGGCTCATGTACCTTGAAGAGTGCCACGTGACACCGTTCCTTTGAGAGGAACGCCTTTTAATATATGTTATAGATTATCTAAGCTTTCAGTCTATGCAGACGCAATGGACAATATAAAAAGGTCGGCCATCAGCTCAATCAACTGTCTAGCAACCAAAATGTGCTGCAAAGTGGCCAAATATCTATCCAAAACAAGCCTTTAAAAATATAATCAAGGGACCATACCCAAATTTTTAGAAAAAAAAATATATAATCAAGGGACCATACCCAAATTTTTAGAAAAAAAAATACCAACCATCTATTAACAAAAGCTTCAACTTTTAATGTACTAGAATAAGTAGTTCTAAGATAGCTAAAAAAACTTTGTCAAAATCTGCATCACATCAAGTAGCAAAGGGCACTGAACTGACAGTTTAAACACCCAAAAAATAAATAACCAGCTAAATTTACAAGTAGGGGCATGAGAACAGCAAGAACTAGCTGCACAGTAGCTGAAGTAAATGAAATTGAACTATATCATCTCAATCATAAATCTAGTGAGGTAAGACACTACAGACTGCAAGAGCTTTTTCTGGAATCTGTCAAATATAGTCCTCTAACTTACAAGTTCTTTAAATTATAAATAGTTATTTAAATTATGTATTGGTCAAGAAGAGCATCAACAAAAAGGGAAATAATAAACCCATGAATCAAAACGTCAGTCAGGGGGGCCAATAAGTCCATATATCAGGCACCCTTCAATCTTTCAACAAAGTAACAAAAGAGCTGCATAAATTACTCACGCAATATTAATCAACCAGCACACAAGTGTAGGCTTAAATACACAATTAATAGCAATGCAATACCAACTAAATCACCAAAATCAAATCCAAGAAAATGCAACAATTTGATACAACCAAAAAAAATTGACATGTATAATAAAAATTACCAGTTAATTTAAAATATTGAAATTCAGAGAACCGTAGCCTTAATTTGCTAACCAAATTCTAAAAGTCACGAGTCATAAATATTACTCGAGCAATATTCATCAATCAACACATAAGTGTAGGCTTAAACACACGATTAGCAGGCTAACAGCAATCACCAAAAACCAACAAAATGCAATACATTTAATACAACCAAAAAATAGAAAGTTATAATAAAAATTACAATACTAGTACCAAGATATAGACAAGAATTGTACCTTATGGTAAAGAGCTTTCCAAGCATTATCATCATTAGCAGCCTTACGCATCAGTGAATTGGTCATAGAAAGACGGCAAAGGCTCGGATAATCCAAATAACTGAGCGCATGAGTCGTAATCTCCGGCACCAATTGCTCCATCATCGATGCACCTGTCAGCTTCTCCGCCGCCGACACCAACGCCGGCATTTCACCTCCGTTCTCCGTCACCGGCGCACAATCTGCGCTCAAAACGGCGCCGTTACAGGAACACTTACAATCAAAATCACGCCTACTACTATTACTATTGCTACAACTATCACTATCCTTCGAATCTCTCTCCGTAGTAAATTTCGATCTCCGACCACCTTTCAACGACGAAAACACGGCGGCGGAAGAAAATCGACCGGCGAAGATAAAGCAAAGTACGGTTGCGGCGAAGGCTACAATGAAGGAGTACGATGAAAAGAAGGATGATAGAATAATCTCCATTCATACGACATTAAAGCTCCAATGTACATGAAAAAACCCTAGAAAAATTTGGAATTTTATCAAATTGGGGAAAATTCGTCGAATTATAGCGACGAATAGGAGTTTTCTTGCGTCGAATTTTGACCTAATATGATTAATTTTGGTAGGATGAAATTGAGTGAAGGTGTCGGATAAACCCTAGAAGTTGGGGTTTCTTCAATGGAATTTGCAGAGGAGAGAGAAAGTATGAAGAAGGTTTGTGTGAGTTGTAACTGACAATCTTTTTTGATGAATTTACTTTTTGAGGAATTAAAGGGGGTAGATTTTGAAGTTTTGAACGACGTCGTTTTGGTAGATACTATTTATTTTTTTTTGAAAGAATTTGGTAGATGCTCTATAAATTACTGTAGTTTTGATTTTCTGCCGTTTGGGTTGACGTTTGACTATGGGAATAATAAATTAATTTCAGGAAAATGTTTAATGAATAATAAAAAAGTTAAATAAAATAAAGCGTTTTTCTAAGCTATGCTCCTGTGGAGTTAGGTTTTCCAAGTTGTGTCCATGCTTTTTGAAAATTCTAAGTCGTACCCCTGAACTGCTAATCTTTAATCAGCTATACCCCTCCCCTAATCCTTCTGTTAACTTAGGTTAACTTTCTGTTAACTTCAAAATAAATAAATTTAAAAAAAAAAACCAAAACACCAAAACACCTCTCCCTCCTCCCTAACAACTACCCACCACTGCACCTCCAGCCGCACCACCGCGCCTCGCTCCTCTCTCCTCAACCCATCACCGCGTCACCCTCCTCTCTCCTTTTCTCTCAACTCCTTGACCCTAATCTCCCCCTCTCTCTCCTCGTACCCCAGCAACTACCACACCTAGCCACTTGATGCGCCACCACCACCATTCTTCATGCCCAGATTTTCGAACATTTTTCGAAAATTTTTAGGCAAACGTCGAACAATGTCGACCAATTGAACCATATTCGTGCAGATTTTCATTGAAAAAATCAATTAAAACAAGTTTTGTGTATTTAATCTCAATCTAATTGAACCAAAATTGATGATTTAACAATTAAAATCAAATTGGGGAAAACTTAGGGTTTTCTATTGTTTTGAACCAAATTCTTTGATTTCAAAACGACAACAACAATTAACAACTTAATTTTGCAATTTGAATCCAATGAAACAAAAGCCCTAAACCAATTTGTCTAAATTTCAATTCGAATTAAATTCCTCCATTGCATTCGAACACTTTCTTTGGTGGTGCACTAGGTGGTGGGGCTGCGATGGGTGGTGATAGGGCTATGATGGGTGATCGTAGGGGTCACTAGTGGGGTTCGGCAGGTGGCCTAGGGTGTGTTGGTGGGTGGTAGGTGGTGGAGGGGTTGGGAAGAGAGAGGATTTTTGGTTGGGTTTTTTTAAAAAATAAAAAAAAATTAAAGTTAACAGATTTTTTCACAGAAAGTTAACTGAGGGATTAGGGGAGGGGTATAGCTGATTAAAGATTAGCTATTCAGGGGCACGACTTAAAACTTTCAAAAAGCATGGGCACAACTTGAAAAACCCAACTCCTCAGGAGCATAGCTTAGAAAAACCCTAAAATAAAATAGGGGTTTTGAGTTTTGAATTGGGGAAGAACAATTATTCATAGGGTATATCATAGTATATGCCAAATTTGATTCCTTTTCACCATGCTTAATTGCTACCATAATAGGGTTTTCTATATGTGAGTGTAGGAAGTGTATCATACATTCATACGGAGTAATATGCAAAGTACTTCTTATATGTATAGTCCCTTTTTTTTTGGGTTATACGAGTACTCTCTTTGTTTCTTCAAGTTCTATTTTGATCACCTAATTAATTTTCACTTATTTTAAAAAAAAATAATTTAGATAAATTAGCTCATGTATTCCGTAATAATCAATAAGCACCAATTGCAATTTACAAATGAAATTAATTCAAATACATGAAAATCGAGTATATAAAACACACATTAATTTTATTTAATTCATTATGCATGCGTTCAAACATATATTATGAATGTCTTCAAATATATATATATATATATATATATATATATATATATATATATATATATATATATATATATATATATATATATATATATATATATATACACACACGATGTATTATGAAAAAATTAATACATCCATTTTCTTTTAGATAACCCGTTTGAAAATTGACATTTAACGGTAGTCACTTACTCTGTGATTTACTCTAAGACTCTAACTACTATAGTCATTTTTACAATTATTTTAAAAGTTTTGGCTAAGGGCACCTCACGGAAGCCCAAATTCTTAAATTAAAGAAAACCAGGCTCCAATGCCCAATTAAGACTGGTCCAAGATTAGAAAAGTCAAGTCAATAGTTGAAATAAGTCAAGTAAAAAAAGATATTGGAAGTTCAACAATTTTAATTTCAAATTCAAAGGATGCATTATCAATCAACAAAAGTTGTATACTTGTATCTCTTACTTATCACTTTCTTAGCAGTAGCTCCCTTAAGTCATCTAGGCTTAGTAGAATTCACATTTAGAATGTATTGATTTACAAAGCAGTGTGTCCAAGAGTGTTTAAATTGAATGCGGTTGCTTGTGAAACAACTAGGACAAAGCTCGAGGAAGTCATTATCTGTGCTGCTGCGCAGGGAAGAACAGTTAAAGCATTAGTTTTTGTGCGAAGTACAATACTAGAATCCCAGCAGAGAGCTAGTGGCATTCAGAATTAACGTCAGAAAATTGGAAGTGGAAACTGATATGACAACAGTTTTCTGATGAATCTGCTCCAACCTTAGTATGAATTGGAAGATTTCATTACAGGCTCGCCTTTCTCATGTATTTGCTGCCACAATGTTCAACAGAGAAACAGATACAACTGCAACGATTCTACTAATGTACAGTATATGATAATGCAAAAAATAACCGTTTCAAATAATATTCTCGTTCCAATCAGAAGTGCATCATTAATTTCTACATATAGCTAAATACTACAAACATGGTATTCTACCTAATCTAACTCACAGCCTATAACAACCAGGTCTTAACCTACAAACTACCAAGTGGAAATGATGGAATGGATTGTTTATTACAAGAGCCAATGAATCCACTAGAGTTACTCCTACAAAAGTCTTATGTTGCTTCTACCTGATATGAGTACATCTCTGCCACAGTTTAAAGGGCAGGAAGCAGTATGAGCTTTCAGGCACCAAATTAATCGCCTACCACAGTCTCTTCAGTGAGGGTGTAGAAAGGCACAAGGTATACTAGATCAAAGTTATTAACATTGTGATGCCACTGCTAAAGAGTATTAACAACCATCCTCTATTCGTTCTAGAGACGTCATTTCCTTGAGAAGCTTCAAAAGGAGCAAAACCCGTTTGGAGACTAGCTTGAGGAATGCTATACACAAGAAGAAGAAGCTCACTAATAAAACCGCAAGCTCCTTGTTATGTAGACTCGTCTGGTCATTCTCTATGTTTTCAACAAGAGATCTGCAGTAAAATGGGCAGTGTAAGATGATAAGAACAAATAAAATGTGATGAGTTATCGAAGGAGAGAAAATGGATCCCTTTGGAAAAATAGCACAGAACACATCAGTCACAAGTTTTTGAGCCAAGTACAGGAAGGATTCTCAGTTTGTGGTAAGACAAACTTTTAAACAAATCGGATGTACATAAAGTACAATACATCAGCTATAAATTTACCCTAAAGTGGTCAAAAGTACCCTGATATAAGATATCTGAAGATATGGTGAAATTTCTATAATTCATCTTTATCAGTCTGCTCCCATCCCAGCATCATATAAATGAAAACTGTGATTAACTTGTCACATGCCAAATCATGAAAAACATGCAATTTTTAAAAATTACATATTCTAAAACTAGAATATGTACCCATAGGCTGGAAAAGGGTTAAAAAAAAAAAAGTTAATATTATGTTCCCACGTTTGGTTTGATAAATGACGTGATAATTCATAGGAAAAGAAGGGAAGTGGGAGGAAAGCCCCTCTCACAAAATTTTCACTTTTTTTTCTCCCAAAATTGGAGGAATTCGACAGGAAAGAGATGCAAAAGTTGTATATCAAATTTCATTTCTTTTCCCTTCATTTCATTTCATTAACCAAACATTGGAAAATAAAATCTCTTTCCTTACCCTTCTCCTGCTTTCTTTTTCCTCCCTTTATCTTCTTTCCTTTACTAATATTGAACCATATAAAGCCATGAAAAAGTAATTAGGAAGATGATGAAATTTGATGGCACGACATAAACTAAACCAGTAGGTAGCAGCTACACAAGAAAATTTGCGAACTGAAAGGGCAACTGACCTGAGGTTCCTATTTTCACTGACCAACTCATCAATTTGTGAAGAGAGAACAGCCTTCCACAACTCAATATCTTCAAATTGTTTATCCTGCAAAAAAGGAATTATTTATTCTTTTTAAAATTTAGATAAAAAGGAATATGTAGAATACTCATAATATTCAGATATATTAGTCAGACAATACCTTGTCTTCCTTCCATTCAATTAGTTCTTTGATTTCTTTTCTTTCGTTGTCCAGCAACGAGGTAACTTTTGATATTTCTTTGTTGATTTCAGGAATAATATCATCTTGTTTTTTATTTAGTTCCTGGAGAAACTCTTCTAACACAGATAGGTTCACCTCCACTGACCTCACTTTCTGCATTAAGATCTTCAGAACAGAGTCTCCAGGAATTCTGCTACTTGACTTTCCGACAACTGGATCAGGAATCTTGCCCGAGGTGCCATGATTCTTAGTTGCGTCATTATTGGTCTTTTGCTCGTCACTTGTTCCCACTCCTTTAACAGAAGAACCATTTCCATTAAGACTTTCACTACCATTATTCTCATTTCCTTCCACATCTTGAGGCTTTCCTGATGATACTTCTGTTGAATTAATCTTTGATGGTTGTTCACTAGAAGCAGATCTGCTAGAAGTCACCATTAGATCTTCAAGCATCCGCTCAATAGCATCAACACCATAAACTTCCAAGACACTCAATGTACAATAATGCTCTGATCCATAGTGACTAATCAAACTCAGGTTCAGATAAGTAACCCATTTGGGTTCTGGCAGAACAAAGGTTTGAGCATGCTTAACATTGGCAGCAACAAATTTTCCCATAAAAGACCATGCATCAGTAGGGTAAGTCAAACTTCCCCACAATTCAAATTCCTTGAAGTTTGAGGAGTAGTGCTCAAAATTTGCAATCTTGACAGAATCAACCAAAATTTCTTCCGGAAGCTCAACTACAACATACTTATCTGATACAGAACAAGGGTTTCTAAGATACTTATCATGATCCTTCCCCAAAATATTACTCGCTCCTTTTGCTTCCTTATTATGAGCTACAACTTTTGCACCTTTAGCCGCTGAGGCAAAGTTGTAAGCTGTTCCATCAGGTTCAAGTCGATGGGTGATATTCACCTGTTCACTAGAAGAGACCACCCCCTTTCCTGATATTGTTGTACTTCGGGACTCATCCAGCTTCAAATAAGTGGAATCTAAAGCCATTCCATGTTGATGGTCCTCTAGTTTGTTCATTCTTTGATTAATTCGACAAGGCATTTCACACACCATATTGTTGTAACCTAATCTTAATATGTTAAAGACCAATTCTTCCAACCCTTTATGCCTAGGGAGCGAGCAATTAGAATTCGAAGAACCTAGCCCTTGAATGGTAGAAATGTTAACGTTTATTGATATATTAACCTCTAGCAAAACGTTGTCCGTGTAGTTTTCAATAGTGATATTATGAAAGGAATCTCCATCACCAACAAGCTTACCCTCGGATAACATGCTTTTATAATTAGAGTAATGATGAGTCTCTGGAAATTATAAACTAAGTCAGTGTCTTCCACTCAATTGGAACTAAACAGGCAGCAAAGTGACTACTAAGTTGAAACCTTGTTTACACCACACATTTAAGCAAAATGATCAAACAACGATGAAACAGAACAGGTAATAATAATACAATGCCAAAAAAAAAAAAAAAAAAAAGAAGCCAAAATGCGTCTCTATGATCTGGAAATATTGGCTGCATTAATATATTGTACTAGCAACTATAATTTTATGAGTTGGTTGCCTTAATACAAATGTAATTATGGGTTGCCAGAGCTTAACTAGCCTCAGTGCCTAACATTATATAATAGCTTTGCTAATGAGTTGTCACAAATAATTCACTCCCTCTGTCTCCAAGAGACCAAGACACATCTTAGACCGTAACACACTAACATCTTGAAAACACACATCGAGATACATCTAACAAGATCACACGTGATCACGCTTATTGCAAGTTCACAAAGGAAACCAGAATAGAAACTACAACAGAGCTTTATACTGTCTATAATCCAAAAACACAAGCAGATTCATTTCAATCACATGCCATTAAATGATCATCAAAACATACAGATCAAAAAGGAAAAGCTATTATTATTGGCCCATATAAATACAAAGAAATCATTAAAAGCTCATATATTACCATATAAACCAACCATAATTAAGAAATAATCAAGCAAAACCTAAAATGAGGCCCAGATAATTAAAGGTCCCACATTGTTGCAGAAAACTCCAAATCAAAACATGGGTAATTGAGAAATTAATCAAAATAAATAAATAATTAAAAACCCAGAAAATTAATTAATTAGTTAATTGGATGAAAAAAATACCTGCATGACCATCGCTGAGACAAACTTCACAGTAAAACAAAAAAACGAAACACCAAATCAAGGAAACGCAGAGTTCATAGAAGCTATTATTATTGTTGTTGCTTCTGCTAATGTCGCCATTGTTGGTCTTCTTAACACCTTCAAAATCATGCGTTCTCTTATAATTATTAAGAATGCTACATTTTTTGACATTTAACCCAAAGTTTTGAGCTTTCTTCATTTCTCATCCGTACAATAAAAAGGGAAAGTTTATGTGCAAATTATATACGAGTAATATGGTGTTGCTATTTTGATTAGCAGTCAGATTGTTGGAGATAGAGAGGATGAGAGCTGAAGGAAGAATTAAAGTTGAAAAAGAAGAGGAATTTCTGGGTTTGATTAGTTTAGTTTTGGAGTTAGTTTTTGTAATGACTTAAATATCTCCAATTTCGTCGGGAAATTCATGGTCTGGTTTGCCTTTGAGCCGAGGTACTTGGAATTAAATGGCCTACTGTTATAAAATAATACTCCGTAACTACGAGTACAACATAATCCATACATTGATACAATATCACACAGTTACACTACTCAAGTGTAAGTATTACATACAGTACTTTGTATTTTCTTTATTTTTAGATTGCAACTTAAAAGATAGCGGATGTATAATGGAATTTTGGTACCAGAAAAGACTGATCATGATATCAAGTTTCATTACAACCTTTAGGTACTTGAAAATGTTCTCTCCCCGACTCTCAAAGGGTCAAGTATGGTAAGATTGGTTTGAGGTCAAGCCTTTAAGTACTTGGAAATGTCTTCTCCCCGACTCTTAAGGGGTCAAATATGGTAAGATTGGTTTAAGGTTAGGCCTTTAGGTACTTGGAAATGTCCTCTCCCCAACTCTCAAGGGGTCAAGTATGGTAAGATTGGTTTGAGATCAGGCCTTTAGGTACTTAGAAATGTCCTCTCCCCGACTCTCAATTGAGTTATTCACTCTCTAAAACATAAAAGGTGTACCACATTTTTCAAGCAATAAATTAGTTCGGTATGATTACTTATGCATGTTGATTAAGCATCTTATTCATGAGAAAGCCAAGGGAGCAAGTGGTTTCCTTTTTTTTTATTTTTTATTTTAAGAACAAGTGGTTTCTATTTGATTATATACATGATGTATTAGATCTTGGTTGGTTTAACAGAGTTGAGGATAAGGTAGCTTATATTAAGGCTCGTATCCTCCTTCAACCTTAGAAGTTTGATAGAACAAAGAATGTTGGATGATATTCCTTCTTATATTGTCTGTCAAATTCAACCTCTTCTCCACCAAAACAGCTTCGGACAATTGTAGTACTTATACTATTTAAGCTTAGGTAAAATACAATTTCACTATTGCTCCCTCAAAATGGAGCTAGGTAAAATATTGGGCCAAGAATCTCTGTACATTAAATGTCAACTAGTGACAAAACTACAAAAACAGCTTACAGACTCATTTCAAAACTTCAAAATTCCTTAATATGTGAGAGCTTACAACTAATAGCTTAACCCGCGTTCTTCCTCTCAGCCTGCTTGGGGCATGTCTCCAGCATGTCAGTACAGTGGATTAAATTATAGACTCTATGGCTCACAGCAAAGACAGTGATTCATATCAAGGAAAATGACTTCTATGCAACACACTAATTACGTTGTTGGCCTGGTCCATCAATGGCGTGGAAACATTACACCAATTCACCACTTGATGAAGTTGCCAATGCATGCTCTAGCTCATAGCCTTGGTCCTCACTAAAGAACGGAAGGCTACCAGGATGTTCCTCCTCCAACAAAAGGCTCACTGATGTTTCTGCAGGGTATTTGTCAATGATAAAATCGATCTCGGCTCCGCTGATCTCCTTTTGGTTTAATAGAACCTGAAAATGGGACACAACAAAGATCAAATACTATGTGGTCTGGCTATTGCATACTCCTAGGGTTGCAAGAGTTCCACACTGTCTCACATCACATTTGTGTCCAGAATTTTACTGTTTTTCTCAGCCACTTCAGGTGACTTGGTGAGCAACCATGCATCACCACCTTCACTATCTCCCCTCTCATGTGGATGTGTATTCAAAAGGAGTAATTCAGTTAACAATACCCAAATCAAGAGCACATTATGACATGAATGAGAATAATAACTAACAGGAACTTCTCAAATTTATCTATCTAATTAACCAATTGACAATATAGTTGCAGCAAGCAACAAGAAACCACCTTCGCTTAAATACAAGAACACTCATAAAAATTAACGCTTTTTCAACAATAAATATGTACATGCCATTTGGGGGGGGGGGGGGGGGGGTGATTACCCTTGGCAGGTACCAGAAATAAATCGGTAGAGCAGCCTTGAGGCATTTAAGAGGGGGATTGTGCACTTGTGCTATACAAATATTTCTATTTTAGAAAGCCCAAGAACCAAATCAATTTGATGAAAAGCGAATTAGATCCAGCACACAGTCATATACCTTTACAGTTTTGAGCAAAGCAGCATGATGCTGTCTAAGCAGCAAAACAGTCTTCTTGTACATCTCCCGCAACAATTCTTCAGTTCTCTTGGCAATTTCATCGTCCAAATTGAAATTAAGTGGGGGTTCTGTAAGATCATAGTCATCATACAAGGAATCCTCAAAGTCCAGCCTGGGTCCCACAAATTTAGCCGTCTTCCTCCAAGGAGGTGGTTCCCCATGTATGACCATAGGGTTCTCCAGATTCCATCTGGTAGAAATTTGGAAACATTGATCTATTAAAAAAAAGGAAAACATAGAAAGGTAAAGTGAAGCTGAGAAATAAACTTACATGGTTATAATTTTTCGGGCAAGCCAGGTTGCATCAGCAAGATAGTTAACTGATGCCCTTGATGTATCACGTCCATATATAACTTCCTCAGCAGCTCTCCCACCAAGAAATACCTTTCCAGGTAAATTCAGGTCAACAAAAAAAGATTTTAACACCACAACAAATGGATAAAAAGACTAAGAAATCCTAATGTTTGAACCTGTAAACGATGTAGCAACTGCGGCCGCCTCTCAAACATGTATAACTCATCATCAAGACGATGAAATACGACTTGTGATAATGTCTGCAAAAATAACCCAATACATATTAGGCATAGTAACACTAATCAAAACATCAGTACCTGCTTCACGGATATAAGAAAATTAAACCATCCTAGAAAAAGTTATTTTATAGACCTACATATTTTCCAGCCTTGCCATAAGGTATATTGGGGAAAGCACATGAGCATTATACAAATATGTACTTTAATCAACATTATGGAACAAGTTGACATTTTAATAGCCAATCAAAGAATTTTCCTACTTTTAAGCAACATAACAAAAGCTCTTGTTGTTTAAAGTAATCTAAGAGAAAGAAGTTTCATATAAGCCAATAGCCATGCTCACTACGTAGAGAATACTTACTGAAGGCTGACAAGTGACAGACTGTTAGGGTAGGTACAGATGACAAGAAACGAGTTTCAAGAAAGAGTCATAAGGAAACAAGGTAACCTGGCCACGTGGGTTTATAGACACGCGATCACAACGTTCAACTTTTGCATTCTCAAGCCTTCTAAGCAAATGAGATGTTATAGCAGTTCCCACTTCAGCTGTGGCCCTGCGACATTGTCCTTGGTGCCCCAACTCTATGCCGACACGTTTAGGCCCAATTGTTAGTCGATCCACCGCATCATCAAGATCAGACTGGTCAACCTCTTCATGCCCTTTCCTTGCAGCAACTAAAGCAGCTTCTTGCAACAGCTGAGCCAACTTCGCACCAGTCCATCCTGAACATGCATGAATATCTTATCGTCATACAATCACATCTATAGAGAGGTCAATATATCCTGTAAGAACTAATACTTCCTCCATTTCTTTTTAGTTGCATCATTTTCCTAAAACAGATGTTTCAAATTAGTTGCATCACTTTCCTTTTTACTCGCAGTTATTAAACTCTATCTCTCTCCTACCACATGGGTCCATTTTTTTTTTTTTTATTATTCTCTCTCATCTCCAACAATTGCCTAGAGTCCGCAATTTGCAAAATGATGCAACTAAAAACAACAGAGGAAGTAATCTCATACATCAAAACAGGTCTCATTCACAATTCAAGCATGTCAACATGTAATATGCTATATAAGGTCATATATCATATTGCCATACCAGGTAAGTCATTGGCATAACTGGACAAATCAACAGAAGGAGACATTTTCACTTTGCGGGCATGAACTTTCAAGACTTCCAATCTTCCTTTAGCATTGGGAGGTTGAACTCTTATCTATACAAGAAGGAAAAAGGTCAGATTAACAAGATTTTTTACCCTATAAAAGTATTAATGAAGATAAGCTAAATATTAAGCACTTTCAAATTAAGTAGGAAGCAATAGTTCTTAGATTGTCATCTTATAAGAAGTATGTATAGCCAAGGCTGTAAGATATCATGATACACCGCACTTATAAAAAATTGGAAGAAAATACAGAGATTACAAACCTTTCTATCAAAACGACCTGGTCGAAGAAGTGCAGGATCTAACAAATCCATCCGGTTGGTAGCACCTAGAAAGATGACACCTTTGCCAGTATCAAAACCATCAAGTTCAATTAAGAGCTGATTCAAAGTAGTTTCTCTCTCTTGAGTGGCTGCATTATACAGATTATCACTTGAATCACTGAATATTCCTTGCCGCCTGAATTTACAAAACCCAGGAAAATTAAATCAAAATATCCTGTAAACATATGGCTAATAATATTCAAAAAATTGATTTGACAATAAGATATGCACCGTGTAGCTAATGCATCAATTTCATCAATGAATATGACAGATGGCTTATTTACCTGCAAAATGAAATGTTTATTAATCAGTAAATGAAAATGGTGCAGAGCAGTTTGTGTAACAGTTTTACATGTTAATCAGCTCTTAGGAAGCATACATCAAAGTTCCCACAAAGACAACATCACACCATCAAGCAGATGAGACTCTGTAATGAACTGGAATTTTGGGCAGAAAAGTAAGGGAAGAAGAAAATATAAAAAATTACAAAAAATTAAAGGGTTATTCACTTATTCAAGCTTACAAGAGGCTTGAATTCTCCTTAACACAAAAAGAACTAAATGAAACACGCAAATTCAATAATACCCGGCATATACACTTCCTCCTTCCAAGCTAGACTATTTACTACAATCATTGCCCTCACTATTACACGATGCAATTAAGACTCCAGCCTAAATAGGGTTTTGGTGATCATTTCTCCAACAGTTGCAGAGTAATTTCTCAAATTATCTACTAATAGGCAGAATGTGAGGATTCTGACTTCTCAGGAAACATTGCGCAGAAAGGGATATAAAATTGTAAAACATGGGTCATACAAAGTCAGTAGCATCCATGAAGCGATGCTGGCATGTTGCCTTCTACACACTGATACATGATGACAGGAAGCAAGTATGTCATTTTACCTTGGCTCGCTTGAATAAATCCCTGATACGTGCAGAGCCAACACCAACAAGAACTTCAACAAACTCTGACCCAGCCATTTGGTAAAATGGAACACCAGCTTCACCAGCTATCGCTTTTGCAACTAAAGTCTGCCAGACAAGGGATAAATATTTTAACATTGCATGTACCAACAAAACACCATAAATACCATCTATATATTACCTTTCCACAACCAGGTGGCCCTTCCAGAAGGACTCCATGAGGAGGTTTTATTCCCAG